TATTTTAACTGTGGAATCACAGGCTTTGTAAGACATAATACAGAGACATCCTGTGTACCCCTCACCCAGCTTCCCCCAGTGGTAACAGTTGTAAAATGACAGTGCAATAATGTCACAGGATACTGACAGGGATATTGTCAAGATAGAGAACATTTCCATCACAACAAGGACACCTGATGCTGCCCTTTCGTAAACACACCCTCTTCCCTTCTGCTTTTTACCCCTTCTTTGACCCTGGCAACTACTAACCTAGAGTATTAGTGTGAGTATTGGGCCACAGCTATAATTTTGTCATTTTGACACCAGGCAGGCATGCCCCAAAGTGGGGCTCAGACCATGAGGGCTCTTGGCTTTGCCCAGAAAACAATTCAAGGGCAAGTCAGTGGTGGAAGAAATCAGCTTTACTGAGGAGGTGTTACAGCTCTGGTGGTGTTACTGGTCCAGCAATGTGACAGCTCCGTGACTGCCCCTGCAGAGCAGGGGTACCCCATAGGCAGTGCGCTGAGCTCGGGGCACTTTTGCAGTTGGTATTTATACCTACTTTTAATTCCATGCAGATTAAGGGGCGGTTTATGAAGACATTTCTAGGGAATGGGTAGTAAGTCTGGGTCATCGCCATGGAAAGGGCAGTAACTCCTGGGTGCTGCCCTGGCGATGGTAAACTGACATGGCACCCTGGTGGGCATGTCTTACAGAAAGGTGCTGCCACCCTGTCCCCATTTTAGCTAGTCCTCAATTTGATCCAGAGTCTGAGCCCCACCTCCAGAGTCTGAGCCCCACCTCCTACGTCAATTTCAACACCATGACTTCCTCATATAGTAAGTTACCTTGTGGGATTGACCCAGGAGCAGCCAGTCTCCCGCTCTCCTCCTGGAGCCTAATCTTATCCCAGCTGCCAGGTGGATGTACTCGGGGACACCCCTGAGGGCCCCTGGAGGTCTGGCATGGACACCATCCACTGTGACTCTCTATTCAAGGCAGATTAACTGAGAGTTAATCTGAATTATGTAACCACCACCACTCCCCACTCCGAGGCCTCATGACTCACCAGCCCCTTTGAATTCTTGGAAGGGGTCTCAGAGGAAGAAAGAATGGAGTCGCCGAACCACATTTGCTGCTCTAGCCCCAGAAAGCCCCTGCTCCTGTCTCCTCCTTGTGTCTGATTGGCATCAGGCAGGAGAAACCCTCTCAAGCCAGACTTCAAACGTAAAATCTAGATCAAGGATATATTTGGCTTCCCAAGCTAATCTTTACTTCAATTTGGTCTCTACTGACTTGTAACCCTTTGAAGAAAACTTGGCAACTACATATTTAAAACAGATGACTCTTACATAACCCCAGAGAGGAGCCCCTGGGTTCTGGAAGGCTCGGTTTGCAGTCCTGTTGGGGTTTTGTGTTTACCTACTTCACTATAACCCAGGGTCATGCTCCGGGTACCCTGTGGCTTTCCCACAAAAAGCTCAGGAAAGTGCAGAACCCAGGAGCATGCAGGGCCCCAGCTACCAAACACCCTCTTTGTGTGTGAGTCGGAGGAACTGGGGCTGGGGAAGGGAAAGCTAGGTTGGGGTCCAGAAGCTCCTCCAGCGACCCCCACGAGGAAGATGCAGGTGCATGCCTTGGGGCAGCGGGCTGCTCTGCCTCCGGGGACCCACAGACAGCTGTCCCGGCAGGCCTGGGCTGTCTCCGTTCCTGAACTGCGTTGCCCTGCTGCTCTCTCTAATACACAACAGAAAAGGAAGCAGGTGATCAAAGTAAATAAAACAGGGACAGACTGTGAGGAGTCTGCCACCAGCTCGGACAGTGGATCCCCAAGGTGGGGGTAAGCGTGAAGGTGGGTATGTACTGACGTTGCCCAAAGGTTTGAACTGCCTCCTGAATTTGCAATTTAGTCAAGCATTATGGTCCACGAGGGGTCATAGCCACTGACACTAGATGGATTCCACTTGCAATCAATTTAGCAGCAGCAGCTGGAAATCAGTGCGAGCCAGGTTTCACCGGGAGCGCAATGTTTGTGGCTGGGCTGCATGGCCCCAGCTGCTGGGGGACTCTACCGCGAGGATGGTGACAGCCAAGCCAATGGATCCCTGCCATGAGGCCCAGACATGGCACAGTGCTCACCGATAGGGCTTGGGGAACTGTGAATTATGTCATCACACATAGCCAGGGCCTCTCAAACAAAAGGGGCCACGGAACCTCAGAGCAGGAGAACAGACAGGATGGCCGCAGGGACGTGGGCTGAGAATGGGCTTGTGGCACTCTCCTAGGGATCACAGTACTGAGCACAACCCAGAAAACGTCTTGGGTGGGCGCTCAGAGCCCCCCAGCAAGTGACAGTATCTGAGATCTGCATCCTCAGAAGCGACTCACAACCGGGAAGCCAACTCCAAACTCTGGGCTGCTGGCTGAGTGCGTCCCCCCCACACGGGTGAGCTCTGCGCTGCCGGCTGAATGCATACCCCCTCCAGGGGCGAGCACTGGCAGGGCTTGTCAAACCACTGGGTCTTCGTCCACGGCTCCCTTTCTCTGAGCTGATGGAAAGTATCTTTGGAGCTTTGCTACAACTACGAAATACCACCGCAAAAGACACAAAGGCAGCTCAGTAAGTCTCAATCTGCTTCTCCCTCTTGGGGGGAAAAAAAAGCTCCACAAACAGCTCAGTTCCAACGCAGCAGTAAATAACCAAGCCTAGACTTCGTCTCCAGGGCCAGAGCTAAGAAAGCCCACATCCCACTCCCCGGCGCCCCCCGTCCAGCGAGTTCCACTGCAGCTCTCCTATGCTGGAGCAAGCCAGGCCTTCTGCCACCCCAGCTGGAGGCTCACAGTCTACCTGTACTAACAGGCTCCAAGCTTGGCAGCAGGACACCCAGTGATCACCTGGGGAGCTGTGGAGTGGCTTGCAAGCAAAGGTGGAGGGCTGTCTTGAAAGAAAAATATGCATTTCCAGACCTGGAGCTGGCAACCCTTTGGTTCCGAGTCCCCAGGTGCCCATTGTGATACAAAACCGCACAGACCCTCTGGGACAGGCCTCCTTCTCAGGCCAGGAGGCAGCAGTAGCAGTAACAAGACCCAGCTCTCCCATCAGGATCCCAAATAGGTGACAGCTGGTCCTTAAAGGCACACTTACAGAAAGTCTCCTGTGGTAACATCCAGGGGGGAAAACAAAGGTCAGACTTCAAAAACACCAACAGGACTATTTCCTAAAGCAAAATCCCAAGACCTGGCTCGAGGATGCTTTAGAGGAACTGTTTTAGTAAATTTTAAACCAAAAGAGAGGTTTCTTTCAAGATATTTGCTTTCCTCTCCATTTATCAAAATGTACTCATCTTTTAATCTAGTAACTTAGCAATTAAAAAAATGTTCAAATAAGTTGCGATCAGGAATGAACTGGCAGATGGCAGCTCAAGAAGCAGGTCGGAGCTGAACCTGCCGCTGGCCAAGGTGGGGACCCGTCTGGTCCTTCACAAGGCCTTGGAGGTCTCGCTGAGACCTGGGACAGTCCGGGGCAGAGCAGGGACGGCAGGCCTGCAGGGCACCTAGATCAGGGTCACTGCAAAGCTGTCCTCCTCGCTCCATTTCGCCGACATCCTGGAATGGTCCAAGCCTAAACCTTACCTAGCTCAAACACACTTATGGATTCAGGCCCGGCCAGTATCCAACACCCCACACAATCGGCTCCGTGATGAGCCTCTGAAGCCCACAGCAAGATCGGCCACTGTGAGAAGGGATGCTAATAATATCTGACCACGTTCACTAGTTGGGTTACACCGTATTCACCTCTGGCTCATAAATCAGGGGTCACTAGAAAACACTTGGCGTCCCCGTCCCCTTCCTATTTCTTAAAATCAGGACACGCACTAGATCCTCCCTCCCTTCGCCTCACTCCCCCCGCAGCTTTATCCCAGGGTGGGGGCGGCTCCAGCAGCCGGCTCTAACAACTGCTGGCCTTTTCGTCCCCAACGCGGGAGCGCAGTGCATCCCAGCGGACAAACTCGAGAACCGCACGCTGCTCTCCGCCTCCACCTACGTCCTCCCCGCTCTCGGTTCCAACCCGGGACCCAAATGCACGAGCTCTGTGGCTGCCCCAGCAGGAGGGCGAGGGTTCAGAGGCAGCCTGCCCGGCAAAGAAGGACAGCCGCGCTCCGGTGGGCCCCGGGCCGCCCCAGGCAGAAGCTGAAGAAGCCCGAGAACCCCCGCGGGCTGGCAAAGTTTGCCGAGAAGGGTCTTTTTGGACTCCCCCATCACGGGCTCTAGACTCGAACCCCCTGTTCCATCTGGCCCTGGAGTCCCAGACACAGAGGAGCCCCGGGCGCGCCGGCGGGCGTGTGTGCGTGTGTGTTTGGAGGAGGGTGGCCGCCCGCACGCCCCAAGAGCCCCAGCTCTCTAGCCCCAGCTGCCCGCGAGCTGTGAGCGCCCGTCGGGCCTGGGGGTCACCTGCAAACAGCTGGGTGGGCAGCTGGGAGCCTGGGAGGCCCCTGCTCAGCCTTGGGGCCCTGAGAAAGGAGAAGGGTGGGCGGAGTGGCTGCTGGGTTCTGCTTTCCTCCAACTCCGCCTGCGAAGCTCTCGCTGGGAGCCCGGAGCTTTAGCTTTCCCCGGCAGCCCCGGCCCCCGGCTCCCGCGCCCGCCGCGCCCAGCGGCCCGCGCCTCGCCCCGGACCCCGGGGAGGAGGCGCGCCGGGGCAGCCGGCCAGGACACTGCGCTGCTGGCGCCTGGAGCTGCGGGCGCGCCCGGCCGGCCCCACTGCCCGGGTTGCTGGGGTGGGCACAGCTGCCCGGACCCCGGACGCGCAGAGCTTTGGAGACCCGACCGCTCCCCGAGGGGCCGCAGCTCCCCACGCTCCAGGCTCCTGGCGGGTGCCCCTACCCGGCTCCCGGTGCACCCCGTTGCCCGCTTTCGGGGAGCGAAGAGGGGTCCCTTGATTTGCAACATAAACCGAAGCGCGGCTTCCGCCCAGCCCGGCACCCACGCGCCCGCACACACCCTGCGCTGGCCCGGCCGCTCACCTGAGTCCTAAAAGCTGTTGAATCCACATGGTCACGTTTCGGCGAGCGGGGCCTCAGACCAGGCTCGCCCGGGCCATCTGCGCGGCGCCCGCGCCCGCTCGCTTCCGTCCCGCGGCGCCGGTCTCCGGCTCTCTGTCCGCCGCCTCCCGCCGCCCGCCGGCCGCGGGGCGCACAGCGAGTCAGAGCGCGGCTGCGCGGGGCTCCATGCCGGCCGGCGCGCCGCCGCCGTTGGGGCGCATGGCTCAGGCGGGGCGGCCCGCGGGGGCGCACATCCTCCGGACCCGGCGCGGGGCTCGCGGCCCCCTCCGCGTGCGACACAGCGAAGGCGGCGGCGAGGCGGGGCGCGTTCCCGCGCTGTCGCCGCGCAGCGAGGGGCAGGGGAGCAGCGGCTTCGCCCTCCGGGGCGGCGAGGAGAGAGGCTGGCGGCGTTGCCGCGCACGGTGCGTGTCTCCCGGCGCGCGGCTCTTGCCTCCAGCCGGAGCTCCGCGCCGATGGGGCGGCGCTGCTTAGGGTCTGGGGCGACGCGGGGCGGGCGGACGCGGGTCCTCTCTGCGCGCCGCCGGGTCGGGGGGCTCTGTCGGGGGCTCCGCCGCCGATTGGTGCCACTCAAGTTGCCCGGGGGCTCCGTCTGGGCGCTCGCTCTGCAGACGACCGCGGCCCGGAGGCTGGCAGGAGGCGGGCACGGGAGGCGCGCGGGGCGAGGGCGCCGTGGAGCGCGGGGCGTGGGGACGCGCGGCGGCGGCGCCGCGCGGAGGAGGCGCGCGGGGATCCCGGGGCCCCGCCGCCCGCGCCCACCGCGCCCGCCGCAGAGCCGCCCGCGCTGCTTGGCCGCCTCCCTCCTCGCGTCTGCTTCTCGGAGCGCTCGCCCCCGCCTCCCGGAGCTGGTCCCAACTCCGCCCGCCCGGCCCGGCTCACGTCACCACCCGCCTTCCCCGCCCCTCGAACGGGAGCCCGAGTTCCCGGCCCGGCCCCGGCTCCTGCTCGCCGCCCCCACCTCCCGGTGGCCGGGTCGCCGAGGGGGGAGGAGGGGGCTGTCCCCGGCGGGGGCGATTGCGCAGGCGGGGGCTCCTTCCGCCCCTTTCCCCATCCCCGGTCGCGTCCCAGTCCCCACCTTGTGAAAGGCTCCAGAGAGGTCGCAGGCTCCGATTGGACCGCCGAGCGCCGCCGGATGGTGTTGCCAGGGTAACCGTATGGCATGCGAGGCAGTCCGAGGTTCCGACCCGGTTACGGGAGCGCCCAGTGGACCGGGAGAGCTACTTTGGGGAGGGGGCGGCCCCGAGGAAGGACTGGGTGGGGACGCATGGAACGGGGGCTGCGCGAAAAGTTTCCCAGGGCGGAGCTGCGCCACGAGGGCTGCGCGGGAGCGTCTGTCCGAGGGTCCCCTACAAGGGACTCTCTGCTCGCTGCGCCGGCTCCCGCGTGGATGAAGTCACCGCGTTCCCGATCAGAGCTTCAACGCTTCTGCCCCTAACCCAGCCCGGCCCTACGCCCCTATTACCCCACGGTCCCTCCTCGCCCCGCGCAGCTGCTGCCTGGCCAGGCCATGGCTCCAGAGGAGTCACTGGAAAGTTCCAGGGAACCTGGGACTCCCAGACTCTCCACCGGCGTTTCCCTGCTCCCTCCCAGGCCAGGACTCCTCTGTGCCTACCTGGTTAGACTGTATTTCCAAAAAATCCAAAGTCGGGGGGTGGGGCACTTAAAGGAGGACAGACACTTGACTGAGAAGCGACATGGGGCGCAATCCTCCGCAGACCCCTGACGCCTTGAGAAGCCACGACAGAGCCCTGCTTTTTAATCCTCTGCAGGCTGAGGGCAGTGCAGAAAAGGGGCCTTGGAAAGGACGCTGGTGCCACCCTTCACCGGGAAAAGAAGGTGCAAGGGGCGGGCAGGGAACACCAAGCCGAGCCTCTGCTCCGCCCTCTGTGCAGGGGCTTGACCCAGGTCAGCTCTGGAATCGCCCCAGGCCATGCGAAAGCAGTGGGGGTGGAAGGGGAGCACTCACAGGTGAGGCCTCCCTAGGAGGGGCAGCCAGTGAGGAGGTGGAGGGGCAGAGCCAGGAGGACCCTGGCTGGGACGCAGTCTCCCAGGGGGACTATGGCTGGGGTACAGTCTCCCAGGAAGACCATGACTTGGGGTGCAATCTCCCAGGAAGACCATGGCTGGGGCTCAGTCTCCCAGGAGGACTATGGCTTGGAGCTCAGTCTCCCAGGAGGACCATGGCTTAGGACGAAGTCTCCCAGGAAGACCGTGGCTTGGGGCTCAGTCTCCCAGGCAGCCCTTTCACCCCCGAGACCTCCAGGATCCTTGCCAACAGCCTTGAGGAGCCAGGAACAGGACTGGACTCTGCCCAGGCAGGAGGTTGGCAGTGGTTCCCCACCAAGACTCCCGGGAGAGGGCCACAGGCAGGGCGGTGTGGTGGCAGGACAGCCAGTCTTGACAACCGTAGACCAGGGGCCAGCGCTTGCTAACTCAGGGTCCTGGCCGAGTTGGGTGTCTGGCCTCTCTGACCCTCGGTCTCTTCTTCTGTAAGATGGGTCCCACTCCTGGGGGAAGTGTTTGCAGAGCTCCATGAGAAGGCCTCACACACAGTGTGGCTATGGTGATCTGTGAGCCGGTGTGCGGACCAGAGAGGCAGCAGGGTGAGTCAGCACTTTCCCTGCCGGGCCGCTCGGGGGTCATTGTCCCCTAGAGCGTCTCCCTGAGGGGTGTGAGGGAGCAGGTCCCGTTAAGAGGCCCAGGAGACAGGGAGGTCCTGGAGCCGATGGGGCCCAGGGCGGCCAGCGGGGAGGGAGGCGCTGGCACTGCTGCCACCTGGCGGGACGAGGTGGCGGTGCTGCACCCGGGAGGCCCTTCCTGCAACCGGAGGGGCCTGGAGGAGGCCGCTTCGCGGACGGACGTGGAGCCAGGGCGGGGAGGGGCTCGGGATCCGACCTCGTGGGCGCCAGGAACCCCCTGGGCTGCTTGTGGACACCTGCTGACCTCTCTCAGAATGGCTTCTAAGTGCACAGATGAAAAAGCCCAGGATTATTAGGAAACCAATCCCATGCAAATGCATGATCAAAAGAGGAATAAAAACACATTTCTGATGTAGCCGTATATGTTTTTCATTAATACACTTAGCAAGCAACTGACAGATCCTAAATTGCCTTCCTTTCCGTGCCCAGATATGCAGCAATAACAACAGTCTGAGGTACCTGCACCGCGGCCATGTGATACGAAAATGCTCGCACGGTCTCTGTTTGACGGTCACAGGCATGTTCTGCCACCTTCATTTATAATGAACAGAAACGCCAAGTTTCGGTTAGGGTTAAATAAAGATGCCAGTTTTCCCCGTCCGAGTTGAAAGGCCCGTTGAATTCTATCCAAGTACCCTGGGACTCTCTAGGCAAAGAAAATAGTAGAAGGAAGTGTTTTCTGCAAACCGAGATGGAAACAGGCCCTGCGGAAGGCTCCAGGGGACGCCAGAGCCTGAAGACCACAGCCGATGCCCCTGGTGAGTGAGGCCTCCAGTCTGTGGGTAGGGCGGGTGCCCTCTGCCCCCATCCAGGCTCAAAACTGTGATTTAGAACCGGGGTACACTGGTTCCCTTTTTCTCTAGGGTAACTCACGTGGACCTCTCTCCAAAAAGAGCAGTCTGCCTATTATTATTATTTAAATGACTAAATCATTGAACGTACTGTGAAACAATGAAATAGTAACTTGTGTTTCACCATTATGGCCCTGGTTTCTTACACTTTGATGGCACTTATATTTCTGACGGGTTCAGGTTTCTTCCCTTGGGGACAGGAAACTGTGTGTACGTCACTCCCACCCAGCACACACACACACAACACGCACGCACGCATGCACGCACGCCTCCCAGCTTCCGCAGATACAAAAGGGAGCTGTTCAGATGTCCATGCTGTGGTCATCCCTTCCAGTCACCCTGCTAACTCTGACCCCTCCTCCCCACGGGGAAGTCCACACCCTGAAACCCTGGGGAACCTGTGGTCTCCTCACCTAGTCCCCTCCCCTGTATTCCCAACAAAGGAGTCAGCAGACCCCCGCAGGAGGTCCTCTTTGAAGCTCTCTGAGGCCATTTATCTAATGGCCTTCACAGACTTGACTATTTTTAAAACCCATCCGAAGCCAAATTGAGCTGCCATTGTTCATTTTGCTCCCAAGGAGGTAAATGTGTCTTAACCATGACATTTGATTAAGTAGCTAAGTTTGTGATTTTAAATGGAAGGGAAAATGCTGATTACAATTATTATAAGTTTCTTGAAAGCATTCACAGGAGTCTCTTCCCTGACTCTCCTGTCTCCCTGGCTCCCCTCACCCAATAAAACCTGCACGCAGAAGCTCCCAGCTGTCAGGGATAAGGGGGTGACGCAGTCACTATTCCTTCTCATGGAGGCTAGGTGCTACGGATTTGGGGTTTCCTCCCCCTGGCACTTGAGTAGCTTCCTGGGTGAGGCTGCACACAGCTGCACGACGCGACCCGGCTGAGTGCAGGGCAGAGATCAAGCCTCGGGGCAGAGGTGGGCTGCAAGAAGCTGCACTCCTACCATCAAAATGACTCACAGGACTGTCATCCTGCAGCCCAGGACCGGCCGGCGAGAGAAAACGCCAGGTCAGAACTGCCTGTTAAAGTAACTCTTGCATCAGAGAGAGGAAGAGGGGCTTCCTGGGCTTGCTCTGAGAAGCGATAGCCTCCTAGTGCCGATGGAAACAGGCCGCCAAAGAACTCGATCTGACCCAGGATGGAGAAAAACTCTCATCTCAAGGCTTTTATCCATGCTCTGTGTTGATAGGCTTGCCTCTTCTATTTAGACGGGAGGGACTAAGAGGAAGCAGGTTGATTTGCATTACAAAGTAAAGCGACAGGGTTTGAAAGCAGTCCCTGGCATTGCTGGGTTTGAAAGATTTGGGGTGGGAAATTAGGCAGAAGAGGGGGCCCAAGAGTGGGGCTATACACACCAGGGAAGCCCCAAAGCGGAGGGCCAGGGGGCCGAGGTGACCGGTGCAGCCCTCTTGCTTTCTCATAGCTGTGACTGGGACAAGAGTCTCAGGTTTCCAGCCTGTGTTGCAGCTCCGTCCCTTCTAGAAAACCTCCAGGGAAGTCCAGCTTGTGCTGCAGGTGTGTAGGCGAGTGACAGAAGGGGTGTCTCTACTGCGGGGCAGCCAGAGGGGACGGCCACAGTGGCCGGAGGAGTAAGAGGAAGAACCGGGACCCTCTGACTAACTTAGAAAGAGACTCAGGAAATAGCCCCTTTATTCCTTATATTATAGAGGATGCTGGCCACGGACAGAGGGAGTGTGGGGGAAAATGCAGAACATCACAGCGTCCTCAGGATGAGACTTGAGATAAACAGTTTGGATTTAAGGGAAGTGGGGAATTGGGGACATGAAAGAGTCATGCACGTGGCTTCACATGACACAGAGAGATGCCGAATGAGCTTCTCACTGGCCCTGAGGGCCCAGTTCCACTACTAGGAGAACTGTGCATATGTCCTCATCTTGTTGACTGAGCCCTAAGTAAGGGAGGTGAGGTATGCACTCATCTTGTTAACAGCCCTCAGTACGGGAGGTGAAATTTTGTGCTCATCTTGTTGACTGAGCCCTGAGTAGAGGGATGAAAGCTGCACTCGTCATGTTGACTGAGCCCTAAGGGGGCAAAGAAAGTACTAGTGGGTGAGGGTCCTTGGGAACAATGATGGCCTGGGAAGAGGTGCTCCTGAAATGG